CAGAACACAGGGAGAAAGAACTGAAAAAGAAACAGTATTCATAACAAATTATGCACATTTTTTTACACAAGTACTTGACCAGGCTGCTCTCTTATTGAGCACATCCAAAATGTGCCCATCTGAGACAAAACTCACACTGCACATGAAGAGGGAGAAGGGGGGGTGTAAGTGTGTTAACCAACATTACGAATTTGATGAGAAAATAATTACTACAGTGGCTTGCAATAGTATTCGGCCCCCTTGAACTTTTCCACATTTTGTCACAGTACAGCCACAAACATGGATAAATTTTATTGTAATTCCACGTGAAAGACCAACACAAAGTGATGTACACGTGAGAAGTGGAATGAAAATCAAACATGATTCCAAACAGTTTTTACAAATAAATAACTGAAAAGTGGGGTGTGGGTAATTATTCAGCCCCCTGAGTCAATACTCAGCTGCCAGTCTTTTAGGGTATGTCTCTACCAGTCTCTAGATGTGCAAAGCTGGTAGAGACATACAAAGACATACAAAGTATGTGAAAGTATTCACTTTGTGAACATAACGTATCACATTTATATACAAATGAAAGATAAAAGTCACACATAAAAAGAACATTCATAAATCACAGACACATATAATACATATCACTATGTTTTTAATGGTGTGTCAGAAAGCCCTGTGCTCTAGATTATGTTACATGAAGTATCAAAATTAATAACATGTTTTTTTAAATCTACAAATGTTAACTGTCTCAAATGTCTCACTGCTTAAACACTGTCAGGGTTTTTTTTTATTATTATTTAAAATTACATATGTGTGTAATTTTGAAGTTTTTTTTTTTTTTTAATTCTTTAAAGAACTGATAACCACGGATTTTATTAAACTTTCATCTACGACCATATGTTCACCTTTAGAAAAAGACCTAAGTCCTCCTGTCACTTTTCTAATATTTTATGTTATTATATAGATGTAATAACGCATAATTACCGGAATCTTTTGGCTGCACGGTCAGACTCTTCCTGCTCCAAAGAGTTTCTTGACGGATCGACAAAATAGAGACAGCTGTCATCTGCATTTATGTACTGCGATAGATATATAAATTTTAAAAGTACATAAATTATGAAGAATGTGTTACTGAAACAAACTTTTTTCACAGAAATGCTGCTTGTACTAACCAGAAACTTCCAGTGTATATTTCCAATGTTCACAAAGGATAAAATGGCTCTGTAGTTGTCAAAGTTCACCTGTGACATATTAGAAATTAATTACAAATTTGCAACAATACTTTTTCCATTTATCTCGAGACATTAATAAAATTTTAAAAAATTAATTCTAGAATATATTAATTTATTTTTTTTACCTTGGACAAGCTTTGTCTCCTGATTAGTTCTCTCTATAGAGGATCACATCGCTCGTGTAGTGGTTCATAATGTAGATATTATTCCCCAGATTTAGCCGAATGGCAGCAGAGTGAAGCTGACCCCCCACCCACTTGAAACGTAAAGGCAAATAGGCGGAGCGGTTAGTGCTACGTTTGTGCAGATTTGTGCAGGTAAAATTAGCGTTTGTGCTGCTACGGTTTCCGAGATATTAAACTTTATTTTATAGGTCATTCAAAGGTCACCATCCCCCAGACTGCTCCAAAACAAACCAAAATGGTCTACTTTTTTAGTGCTACGTTTGTGCAGATTTGTGCAGGTAAAATTAGCGTTTGTGCTGCTACAGTATCTGAGATATTAAAAGTTATATTTTTTGCTGATGACATCACCATCCCCCCAGACTGCTCCAAAACGGGCCAAAATGGTCTACTTTTTTAGTGCTACGTTTGTGCAGATTTGTGCAGGTAAAATTAGCGTTTGTGCTGCTACAGTTTTTGAGATATTAAACTTTATTTTATAGGTCATTCAAAGGTCACCATCCCCCCAGACTGCTCCAAAACAAACCAAAATGGTCTACTTTTTTAGTGCTACGTTTGTGCAGATTTGTGCAGGTAAAATTAGCGTTTGTGCTGCTATGATTTGAGATATCCTGTTATGGTTTACTGCTGAAAAATGTCTTTTTCAAATGACCTTTCACTTTGTGTGTTCACTTGTTCAATAAAGTTCTGTTAAAAAACCCTCTTGTTGTATTTAATAAGCTAAATTTGTAATGAGTGTATTTTGTTTTAAACTTCAATTTCTTTACTTCAATCACTTTTTGTTCATAAAACCACGATGCAAATGCTTGAGTATTTATTTTTTTTAGAGTGGATTAAAAAAACTTTATTGAAAACTACATTTGAAAATTTTACACTCCCATGAACACTTTTTGAGAAACGAACAAGCTAGCAGTCTTTTGCATCAAATACACATTTTCTGGCAGAAAAAACTATTATTTGGCATTACTGTGTCTGAAGGATTCTTAGAACAACGTTCATCTGATTTCTGAACAAGGTAAGCTTACATTTAAAATACTGAGGTTTTAGTTACTGAGTTAATACATGATATAGTTAACTGTCTGGATCAAAAGGATTTTTTTTCAATGTTAAACATTTTCAAAAATGTCCAAGAAAAAAGTTTCTAAAGCACTTTAAAACATGTAGTACACTGGACTAAAGTGCTGTACAGTACATGGGTTAAATACTCAGACTCAATTTAATAAACTCACAAATTCAATAGCTCCATCTTAAAAACAATAATTCCACAAAATATGAAAGTGTAGATTGGTGGAGAACTTGGGGGAGGGGTTGCTCCTGGCTGTATATATAGTTCAGAAATCACATTTTGCTCCATCATAATCAGTGTGTTGTTTTTTTTTTTTTTTTTAGATGCCTCGAAAGCCATCTGTAGACAAGGTTTCCATTTTTGCAGTTCTTTGCAATTCAAAAGAGGCCATAGTCCAAAATGGCAAAATAGCCACTCCAGCTGCATCAGTCTGGAAAGAGCTGAGTCAGCAGCTAGAAGACAAGATGTCAGCAAAGGCCCTGTACACTTTTGTGAAGCTAATTAGACACAACATCTGGTCAGCTTTGGAAATCAGTGATCAGGAAAGTAATAGTGAAGGAGAGTTAGGTTCACATTGCATTTCTCCTGGACAAGAAAACTGTCAAGCTTTTGAACTAGAAGTCCCTTTTGAGGACTGGGTTAAATTTATTCCTGAAAATGTTGAATACAATGACAAGTTTTCTCCTACCCAAAAAAGGGAATACACAATTTTGAAACCTGGCACTTGGACTCATATCATCAACGATCTTATATGGAAGAAGATCAAAAATACATGTACACTTGTGTTCCGTAGAGCAAAGGTCCATCCAACTGTCACCAATAAATATCTGGACATCAGAGGCGACTGTAAGGAGTGTCATGGCCAGTTAGAAATGTCATGTGACAGACAGCCAGCAATTAATAGTCCAATGGTGCTCCAGTGTTTCATGAGAAATACAGATTTCTCCCTGCACACTGGCCACTCCAAGCGGTTCATGTCTGGAAACCTGCGTGAACAGATCGCTAAAGAGCTGTGTGAGGGCAGAATGGAACCAGCTGTATGGAGGTCAGCGAGGGCAGCAGATCTGATGGATGTTGGAGATCCTGAGCCAAGCCACCTTCCAAATTTGGCCACACTGCGAAAAGCCAAACAAGAGAGAAAAGACTTGGAATTAGGAGATAAGGACCCCATTGCATCTCTGCAATTGTTAAAATATAGTGTTCCTCACAGTGGTAGCATCCGAGATATTGGACTGGACAAGTTTTTCTGTCACTACTGGAGTCAAACACAGATGCATGTTTATAAGACATTGTCAAAAAAATCTCCCCCAACTGTGTGTTTTGATGCAACCGGTTCAGTTGTGAAAAAACTGCTGAGACCAAATGGCAAATCTGGCCATATCTTCCTTTATCAAGGTATTCTGAAAGAAAACAATTGCCCCAGTGTCCCAGTGGTGCAAATGCTGTCAGAGAAACATGATGTTAATGCCATCGCAAACTGGTTGACAGAATGGATTCGTGCAGGTGCACCTGTGCCAAAGGAAGCTGTGAGTGACTTTTCTCTGGCAATTCTGGGAGCTCTGGTCAAGGCTTTCACTCCTCATCCTGATCTGAAGTCCTACCTTAATGAATGCTTTCATGTCCTTCTTGGAACCCAGTCTGCCAAACTCCCCCCTTGTTATATCAGGGTTGATGTTGCGCACTGCATCAAGATGATATGCCAGTGGGAGAAGAAAAGAAGAAGAAAACACATCGTGTTAAAGATTTCTTTGTCAGGTCATTAGCAAAACCTCTTCAGTCTCAATGTTTGGACCATGCAAAACAGCTCCTACATGCTATCACTGTTGTGGCCCTCAGTGAGGCAGAAGGTGATGACAGTTCTGGAGCCCCTCTTCCTTCAGAAAGGTGCAAGAAATACTTGAAAGCCCAAATTGCTCAAGACTCCATCATCATTCCAGATGAACAGACGGAGGAAAGTGAGAGAGTGGATTCAGTGGATGAGATCCAGACTGACCTACGACAGTGGGTAACAGAAATATGTGAGGAGAGCAGGTCACTTGCTGCAGCAAATGGGGATAGAGATAATATTCACTTTCTCCCTGAGATTATTCCTCATATAATAAGACTGGCAAGTTACTTGCCACTCTGGACAGGAATAATGGTCCCTCTCTTCCAAAGCACCAGCATCACAGCAAGTTCAGCCACTGTTGAAGCTGAGTTCAAAAACATAAAACATGGCCTTTTCAAACATGACAACTTGCCTCTTCGAGTCGATCGCTTCATTGCTCGTCATCTTTCCGTCATCAAGGGAAATATGCGGATTTGTTCTGCAAAAGAAAAGGTCAAAGATGAGGCAACAGTGGGATCACTGAAAGTCACAGATGCCAATTCTGGATCCATGACGACTCACAATGCAGAAGACAAAATAAAAATGGATGCTCACCCGTTTGTGGGATCTGATGCTGCCACAAACATTCTTCCGGCTGATGGGGATGCAGTTGAAAACTGGAGGGGCCTAGCTGTTCCACCCAAAAAAAGGAAGAGGACTTCCTACCTCTCTTCATGTACCGAATGGCTCCATGCAGATGAAACTTTTGGGGCCAAAAGAGTGAAAGTGGGATTATTAAAAAATGGAAACCTCCATCAGCCTATTAGATTAGGGGAATCGACAATCTCTGTGCTCAATACCTGTGCATTTGATGCATTTTTTCAGTGCTTATGTTGTGCCTTCTGTGACAGCTCCACATTTCAAAATGCTGTTCTGAAAGACAGTGAAAACCCAGTCCTGCAGCTGGTGAAAGCCATTGCCACAGATGGTGTGACCCAACAAACCTACAGGAGGAGAGCAGAGCTGCTTAGTGTAATGTTTGAAGCTGTCTCGTTGAGGTCTGCTGCGATCCAAATCGATGCTCAGTGCAATATCTCCGCTGTAATCGCTAAGACAATGAGGAACACCTCAAGTGTTTATTTTACCAAACACTGCTCTTCACAGCACTGCTACCTCAGCAAAGGGATGACAAGGGAAGTGCCATTTGTTTCTCCTGCCATCTCTGTCCTCAAAGAGTCTGGTATGGCTCATCTTGGCACAGCTGTGGAAGCAGGACTTGGCCTACCTGAGTCTACCTGCCTCAGGCCACTCTCCAATCCATCTCTGTGTCCATCAGAATTCAAAACAGAAGACAGCACCACAGGAAATGAGCTCTGTGCAGGGACAGTTACTCACAGCTACAACATTGGAGATATCGTGTGGATTGATACTGACCTTGCAAACCAAACAGAATTTCCACTGAATGAATTTCCCTCCAACCTGGTTCTCCAAGGAAAGTCGTTCACTTTGAGGGCATTAATTGCTTTCCATGGAAAGATGACCACTGATGGTTTGGGGCATTACACTGCATACTCCATGTGTGTGGGAGTGCTACAATGACCTGGGAAATGGAGTGACAGGAGCATCTGAAAAGAAAAAAATACAACCCCATGCTGTGTTATACACAGTATAATGAGTGCTGCCTGCATTTTTCTGTTTTATTTGGTTCATTACAGTTACATGTGTTCAAATGGCTAGTGTGTGTTATCAGTAAGTTCAGTTTTGCACATAAAGTTAAAGTTCTAAATTAAAAATCTTTTAACACTCTTTTCTTTGTCAGTCTGATGCATATTTGCTTTTACACACCCAGTCACCTTCACCCGTAGCCTTGAAAGTACCCGTTCCATTTTTCTGTCAATAATTTTTCTGTATTTGTTTTGTGTTTACCTGGTGGCTTAAGTCAGGGGTCAGCATCCTTTTCATTTCAAAGGGCCCCTTTTCCCCCTGCTGCTACAAAACCTGTCTAGACCCTAAAAAAAGAAAGAGCCTATAAATATCTAGAAAATGAGTTGTTGTATCGTGTAAGCTATGGAAATGTAAATAAAAATGCTTATTTTTAGATTTGATAAGACAATGAATCATCAAAGCTTTATATCGGAAAAAAGTATTTGTTAAAATGAAGCCAGCTACGTGAGTCCTTTCCATAATAATTGATAATTAGGAAAGATGGGCAACCAACTTGAAAATTACAGTAAACAGATTTGAACCTAAGAAACATTAAATCACTTTTAAAAGCCTTGTACATTCAGTGAATAGTCAATGCAGATATTTCATAAAAAAACAAACTGTTAACAGAACCCTTTCTTGTTGTCTTTATAATAAAAAAATGACTTACTTGGACTTATAAGAGCCACAGTGGAGGGGCCGGAGAGCCACATGTTGCTTTAGAGCCGCAGGTTGAAGATCCCTCGCCTGGGTGCTGTGGAATATTCAGTTTTCTACACGTAGGTAACAACCTATCAAAGCAAACACTTCATTTTTTCTGAGACAGCTACATTAATAATAATGAACATATATAATTCAAAACAAAATCATAGAGGCCAACTGGGTATGTAAAAAATAATAATAATTTAGGTATACGTGAATCACTTCACATGAAACTCAGTTTTGCCACAGAAAAAATAAAAACTTTAGCCTACCTTGTGTACGTTTCTGCACTAGTAATAAAAGAAATATCAACCTTTCCGCTGAATAAATTGTGTTCCTAAAGTGTAAACTAATAAAAGTTAATATGCAGCAAGCCTAGAAAAAGTGCAAAACTCCACAGCTGCTGAAACTCACTGCCACAGACACTGGTGTTATACAGCGTAGGCCGTGATAATTAAAATCATTATATCTCAGATACTGTAGCAGCACAAATGCTAATTTTACCTGCACAAATCAGCACAAACGTAGCACTAAAAAAGTAGACCATTTTGGTTTGTTTTGGAGCAGTCTGGGGGGATGGTGACCTTTGAATGACCTATAAAATAAAGTTTAATATCTCGGAAACCGTAGCAGCACAAACGCTAATTTTACCTGCACAAATCTGCACAAACGTAGCACTAACCGCTCCGCCTATTTGCCTTTACGTTTCAAGTGGGTGGGGGGTCAGCTTCACTCTGCTCCGAAAGGCCCAGTGGTGCAGGAGACTTTCAATGACCTGAGGAGTATAATAAATAACCTTTTATTACTTTGTAAACATGATAAAGTTTTGGAATACAAAGGTTAATAAAGATTTTTTTTACTTACGTATACTCAGTATTCAGTCATGAGGATATGCCTGGAATGTCGATCTAAAGCAGTACTTACTGAATGTGTAGGGAACAACTAATGTTCTGCCCCAGCTTTAACGTTAACCTTATGCAGTACTTTTTTCTTTTTTTAATTAACTGGATTACATACCTCTCCAACAAGCCAGCTGTGTGGTCTAAGGGTCAGGAACTCACTGTGATGTATGACAAAGTTGTTACCTCTAATCTGAGATGGGACCACAGAAACAACAACTTCCGTTTACTGTTGTTTCCACAAATATGCGACCTGTGTCGCATATTTGTGGACAACACATTTGAAGACAATAGTAACTAAATTCAAATAATTCTTCTTATGAGAACATTCATTGTAATCGATTACAACGGTTTTAAATCTAATTTTTAAAAGTATTTTTGTACCTAATGCAACAACATGAAAACATCTCCAAATTTGACATAGATTTTAATGTAATTTATTTGAGATGTTAAACTACATTAAGAAATTAAAAATTGAGTCAGTTACTGTTGTTTTTATAATATTAAGGCCAGTAACATGTAAAAGTTACATTTATTATTGTACTGACATTTGTAATTTTTCTGTGGTATGTTATTTTTCATTCATCTACACATACATATAATAAAATCTAATACATAATTACAAAAATATGTACAAACAAACTTGGTTTTTCAAACAGATGACATAGTTATTGAATTGATTGTGAATGAGTTTGTTTGTGAAACATCACCTGTGATGCAGTGTCCTTTGTCAGACCGGTTGTTTTTCTCACAAGGTGCTCTGTCCTTTCCAGTGTAGATGGAGAATCCTCTGGCCCCTTGATTTGTGGTTTGAATTTAAACGAAAATATTTGTTACTGCTGTGATCATTTTAATTTTTTTATTAAGGAAAAAATTGCATTACCTTTTGCATGAATTACACGTTTTTAATGTTGATATATTTCACATAATACTCACTAAGTGCGGTGATTACAAAATCATAACAAATGAAGAAGAACAACATAGCCTGAATGTATTTAATGACTGCTAATTTTTATTGCACAATTTGAAAAGGGTTATTCTATGCATCAAAGATGCTCTAATTCTTAAGTTTCACTTATTATTTCATAATAATTACTTATTCATGCTTATTGTTATAATTGTTTTTCTAACACTAAAGATGACAATTATACTTTAAAAATGGGTATACTCGCTGTCCTCCTGACATCAGAGAGTGGCTCCAAAAGGATCTCTTTGAAGGCCCTTTCCATTTCCTTCACGGTTGGATCATCGTTTTTTACCAGGTGTATTTCAAATGGAGGACTTGTGCGGTTCTTATGTTCAAAGTACTTTTTGATTGTGGTGACTACAACATCAGCACAAATTGAGACTGGAAAGTTGAATATTCCAGAGCTCACTGCTGGAATGGCAACAAAGGAAAATTTGTGCTCCTCTGCACATGTCATGACGTTCAAAATACCTTTAGTCAAAAGTTTCTTTGCATGGGATATCATGTGCACTGTTGGGTCATTCTGCAGACACGGGCCTACCAAATGAATCAGCTTCATGCAAGGTAGTTTGCCTGCTGTGGTAACTGCAACTTGTCCAGCCTTTTAATTTGCCATTTTTGGCAATGAAGAGATCACTCTCTGCTTGGATAGTATGTCCTCCAGTAGCAGACAGTGCCTTTGCAAGTCCACCCATGTGAGAGAGACTTTCATTAGCTGCATTAACAATTGCATTCACTTTGAAGGCACATAAATCTCTTTTCCGTACTGTGACCGATGCTTTATTAGCCATGTATGTTGCTATTTTTTGGCAAACGGCTATTTGTTCCTGGCTCTCATCCTACAAAGATAGACACGTGTCAATTTTCAGAGTCATTTATGACAATAACACACAAAAGATAAATGTAGACATTAAAAACATCTCTAACAATACCTGGTTTTGATGAGCATCATATTGTTGGTGCTGTTCCTGTTTAAAGGTTTGAACAGTCTTCTTCCCTTTTACCTGTTAACAGATAACATTTTTGAATGACTTTATATAATAGAATATAATATACAAAAGAATATGGTCATGAATGAGACAAACTTGTTCTGATGTGAGACGTATGTAACGAGTGAGCATCTGTCCTGCTGTTGGTGTACCACACAGGAACTGATATGACTGTGTATGAGTGCCTAGTCCCCTTAAAGGATTCTGTCCAACATTACATCCCAAGTAAACAGAGGAACTATGAGATAAAAACATTGTCAGTATGTGATGCCCGGTCCAGCTGTACAGAGAACATGCTAGTGTAGATTGCTAAATACAGTAGGTCTCCAAAAGACAATGATCACCCTTGAAAGCTTGTTTAATTCATATGCCCTTGGCCTACAACTGCTGAAAACAAAGCTGTACATGGTGTGACCAGCAAAAAGCAAAAAACCTGAGCTTCCTCCTGCACTTATGTCACCTATGGACATGCATTTTTTGGCATTAAAGTTGGGGTTCACTAAGGCCCATGCCTAGGTGTAAAAAAATGTCAAAACACAAAGATTTCAGGTAATCAGTTGGAATACAGTTTGATAAAACATTGAAACATGGAGACGGATGATAATTTATAATTCCATCCATCCATTCGCTTCCGCTTATCCTTTTCAGGGTTGTGGGGGGCGCTGGAGCCAATCCCAGCTGTCATAGGGCGAGAGGCGGGGTACACCCTGGACAGGTCGCCAGTCTGTCGCAGGGCTAACACACAAAGACAGACAACCATTCACACTCACATTCATTCGCACATTCACACCTAGTGGCAATTTGGATTATCCAATTAACCTATCCCCACAAACTGCTTGTCTTTGGACGGTGGGAGGAAGCCGGAGTACCCGGAGGGAACCCACGCAAACACGGGGAGAACATGCAAACTCCACACAGAAAGACCCCGGCCTGATGGTGGAATTGAACTCAGGACCTTCTTGCTTT